CCTTAGATAAACATGCTTTTGTCCATTCGTTTCCAAAAAAACCGAATCCAAAAGAGAAAGAAGACAAAAAAACGGCCTAAGAAAATAAGTATAATAATCTTCGTCAAGAGCAAATAAAACGGTATCTCATTTAGTTAGAAAACCGGTGCCTTTTTGGAATAAAACACACTTACACTATCGCACCTTTGAAGCTTGTAAATGTGTTTTTCCAGTGAGCAAATAAAGAGCGTCTAAAAGCATAAATAAATAATAAGAAGAGAACGACCAATAACAAAAAAATTGTTGAAATGAATATATTTTCTATGCATATTCCGTAGCAAATCCAAAAAGCAACACATTCGATCGTGGCAAGCATACAACGAATTCACTGAAATCCGAAACATTCGACTCTATGCAACGCACAGAATTAGTTCAACGCTAAGCAATTCTCTGCTATTTCATATATGAAAAAAAAATATTAATTAGCCAGCATTTCACACTTGAAATGAAAAGAAACAAAAACGTTTACAATCAACCGAAGTTGTCGTTTAATTAAAAGCGTTTTGTATGGTTACGCTATCGGCGACAACGACGACGGCTTTAACGATTTATTTTAGGCCGTTTGTCTTTCATTTTGTTTTCATGTGTATTTTTCTTTTCAATTTCTTTAACATTACTCGCTTTTTTCCCTTTCTCTCGCCATTCAATTTCAAAGTAAAACATAACGCAACGACATTTAAACAATAAAGATAATTATTTTTTTTTTGAAATGGTGTCGTTTATTTCCGTTGGTAAATATTTGGCGCAAGAGATAAAATACTTTCAACACAACACCAGTATATTACCATTTAGAGTCAAGAAGATGACTTATACCAGGTAACAAAGTACACATAAAAATGGTCTTCGCTTTCTGTGAATATCACATCAAAGCCAACGAAAATGCGATCCATTCAATAAGACATGACCCGCTTCGTTAGCCTCATACCAAACCACGTTCACCGACCTTTGCACTTTATTTGAATAATTTTCTTTCACAAAATAACCATTATGCATGAACTCAACGTCGATAAAGTTCTGAAATCGCAGCCAGACACTTTCTGACAATCTTAAACTGTTGAATGTTTTATTTTACTAGATAAATGTGGCCGTCAAACAATTGTGCAACAGAATATGAAGTCACCGAACATGAATAGTCTTTTGAAATGGTCTTTTTTGTTGAATTTGACCAGATAAACCGATTTCCGACAATTTTGTTGTTATTTTATGTAAAATCAATAGATATCATATTAATTTATTTGGTTGAACTTTCAGTACACTATAAACTTTGACTTTTTTCCCTTTCGTTCAAATCGAAGAAAAAATTCAATGGAAAGATATGAAAATATTGGCAGATGAAAAACTTTTCATATAAAAAAAATGCTAAATGCAACGATACGTGTCGTGTTACTTTGAAAAAAGTAGAAAAAATCCGTTCCAAAAATCAGATACGCTGATAAAAAATTTAATTTGAAAAAAATGTTATTTGAATTTAAGAGATAGAACGAACGGGTATGAGCCGAGTAAATGAAAATGATTCATGCATCACTTGTTTTGCATTGTTCGCATTATGAAGTGGCCGAGCTATGAGCATGAAAATTGATGTTCATTTTTTTTTCTCCGCCGGATACGGCCAATTTTAAGTCAGTCATTAAAATAAACAAAACAAAAAACGACAAATCAAATATCAGGCTTCGATTGTGCTATAATATATAATAATCACATTTTCGCAAAAAAAAACACCGAATAAATTTCCATGCTCCATATTGATGGTATCAGTTGCTTTGTAGCGAATCATATTTGGCTCGCGTTAGTTTCTGATAGAAAAAAAGACCTACCTACACAGAGATTGCATGCAATTGCGATCGAGTTTAATTGCTGGTGACATATTCCATAAAATGTAGCGTAATCAAAAAACGATCGCATTTGACTGGAGCACTGTGTCACTGAATAATTGAAATGCCATCCACGGATCGGAACAAAATCTATATGTTGATAGCGCGCAATGTCTATTATACTTAAAATACAATGAATAAAAGAAATGAACGAAAATAAACAACTGGGTTTCACCAAATTGAAATGCAGTTCGAGTTGGGTTTTTTCGGTTGTTATTTTTTTTGTTTCATTGAGCTTCTTGAGCAAAGGTCCACTGGATGACAGAGGCATCTCTGCAAAGATGCCATTCGTTTTTTTTTATTTCTATATCAAATGATATTCATCACATTTAAATTTTGGCTCAAAAAAAATAAACTCGTCCACCGAATTAATGATTAATGCAATCGTGCAAATGGATCAAGCGCAAATGTGCGCTCGATTGCCTGCTTCTTCGATTGCTCTGCCAATGGCATTCATTTGAATTTGTACACACGTCATTTGCATCCCATTTTATTTATTTATACATACCGACATTTAACTAATCTTTTTCTCTGCCTCTCTGTATCCACAATCCACATGCATTTGGAACATTTTGCATATTTGATTTGCCGTATAGTATGATGATGGAATAATGCATTCGAACGATCGAAACACACATTCATCGCTTGATCGCGATCATTGGTTAAAGTACAAAAGCATAAATCTCTTCATTTGCAACTGTTATTCAATTGTCGTGCATTTTCGATTAGTACATATATTTTATTTACATGCCCATTGGTCGTGTAACATACACGTACACATAATGTATACGAAGAAACAATTATTTGGACCAAACATCAAATCAACCATTTGAGCTGCAAATAATTAACAAACGAAACAAATCAAATGGCACGAATCTGGTTTCTCTTTTTCCAAGCATTGCGTATGCTCATTCACGCACACGATATTTCAATTAACACCTTTAAAGACACAACACAGAGACAGAGAGAGAAAAATGCATCAACATCGAAACACATTAGATTTGAAGCGAGTTAAAAACCAGACTTGAAAACATTGAGAAAGAAAAAAAGCAGTAAAGAATTCAAATTCAACATAACATTTCAAACGATATTTATTCAATGCAACGAAAATGGTGAATATGAATATACCATATTGATTTATTTCTGTTGATTTATCCATTTGTTTGCCGGATGGCGACGTTCTCAATAGCAAGAAATCAATCCTTGTTCGCTATCTATACCCTTCACTTTGACATTTATCTCTATTGTGAAAATGATTTTGAGGCTCATGGCTTTTGGTTACGAAAGGTTGCCTTTCACAATGTGGCAAAAGAAAACCACATCGTCACACTTTGTTGTTGGGTTGACGTAAAACTAATTTTTCCACAACTTTCATTAATATTCAGTTACAGTGCAAATCCTCACCGAATTGATGTATTACAATATGAATTGATGGAATGACTGTCTCAAAAGTTTAATTTGCCTCTCCACAAGCCAGTGTTCGTTGCAACGATGACGATACTATTTCGATTCGGTGGAATCATGACAAATAAATTTATGGGAAAAATGATGATTTTTATTGGGTGGAACGCCTGTTTTGGCGAGGGAACCAGTGTGTTTGTGTGTGTTTAATGTCGATTTTGTTGCATGTAATAGTAAAAATTGAAGTTTCCAGAATAATTGTGGTGTTTCAGCCATTTCAAATAATGTGTCCAACTAAAACTTGACTTTCATATGCAACTTTTGAAGGATGAATTAGGCACTTTTTTTCATTCTCACATTGTCATCAGATAGAGAGAAAAAGAGATATACAAAAAGAAAGAGGAGCAAACAGAGAAAAAAAATTAAATCAATTTGGAAAATAACGGTTATTATTATCATAAACAAGCAAACCGCATAAAATTCATCTAATCCGATTCATGTACACGTACCATATTTCAAAATGATTTGTTTGCGATTTTCTAAACGCTTTAGCTCTCTATTTCAATCTGCACCTGTTATACTGTTCCACGGTACATGTGTACATACACACAACGAAATTACGCACAAAATTGCACAACGACAATGATATGTGACATACACTGAGAGCAAATGTGCGAGAAAAGACCAGAGACTATAAATGCAAATAAAGCCAAAAGGAGTGGATCACACAAACACAATTCATTCGTTTCTCGTTCGCGCGATCTTTTCCCAACAACAATAACCACGACGACGAAAAAAAAATATTAATATTACCGACAGATGACATAGATACAGTCATATACGCATTGTAGACATGCCGAATGGGCAAACAAAAGAAACAACGGCTAAAATTCAACAACGACACTGAATAAAAATGTGATCATAAAGTAATTTCCATTTTGTGTATTACATGCGATTTCAATTGTTATTTGTGTGTTTTTTCTTCCATTTTTTCGTCATTTTATAAATCGGTTGCTTCGCTTATTATTTTATTTGAAGTTGGTATTTTTTTTTTTTTTTTTTTTTTTTCAAATTATTCATGCAATTTTTATTTCTCTTCTATGCACATTCACATCTCTCTATTAATATTCATAATTGTATTTGTGTCGCGTTTTAAAACATATTTCACTTTTCAAATTATGCGATGTGGTCACATAAAATGTCATGCTTACTTCATGTTTGTGCATTGTTTTCATTTTGCACATTTTCCGTCAAATAGCTCGTTAAATTTTTTTTTCTTACCTGCTCTATTCATCATTCCAAAAGCCAACAGCCAAACATGCGAAAGGGACGGTCAAATGCGAAAGTTTTCAAATGCACACACACACACACACAAAGCGCACAGAACATTACATGCAATTTTAAAGCACTCATCCGGTCCGGATGTTAAGAGACATCTTGGAAGACTATTTCAATGGCATGTGGATGTGTGCTTGTATTGACCCACATTCACAACAGAACTCAATTGAAAATTATTTCAATTAATAGTTTATGACGAAAATTCAGTTAAACATGCCCTTCAAATTGGCACAATTTTTGTGAAATCATCGCAGAAATCTTTTGTTTCGTCAAAATACATGCAATTTATGTGAACAAAAAATCACAACTTTTTTTTACCCTTTTTCCAATTTTTTTTTTTTTTCACTTTAGAAAAACGATCAGCATGGAAATGCACAGCAATCTAGTCTGGAGGATAGTTGGTTCTGGGAGTCGGAGAAGGCTGTTTCGTCGGATTCGTCAAAGGAAAATGATGGATCGGCCGGACGTTTGAAGAAAACATCGATCGAAACAAATGAAACACCCCGAATTGTGGATAGCTTACGTCGTTCACTGGATGAAAAAGATGGCGAAATTCAGCGATTGCTTGATGAGAATTTGTCATTGAATGAAAAGATCAAGCATTTGCACCGTGAAGCAATTGAGCAAGATAAGCGTCTCGATGAATTGGACCAACAGCACACGGAAGCCTTGCAAAATTTGGTACTCATCAAAAATGGACTCCAAGAAAATGTCACAATGCTCAAGGCTGAATTGGATGCTGTCCGCTATGAAAAGTTGGCAACCGATGAAAAATTTGCCAATTTAACAAAAGAACACAATGAATTGGAGACAACAAAACAGGAATCATTGCAGCGTCTCGATGAATTGCAGGCACAACTCAACGCGAGCCACGAAGAAAACGATCGCTTCAAAGCCGAAATCGATGAGCTGCAAGCTCAATTAATCGCCAAAACATCGGAAATCACCGAATCACTTGAGGAGAAAGAGACACACAGTCGTGAAGGTAGCGATAAATTTGAGTTGATCGATTTGGAAAAGGAGAAAATGACCAGTTCCATGGAGATAAATCGTTTGCAAACCGAATTAGATGAAATCAATTCTCGGTTATCGATTTTAAATGACATCAAAGATCAGTATGATGAAAATGTTTTGAAATTGGGTTCGGTAGTTACCGAAAAGAATAGCTTAGAAGAGCAGGTAAGCCGATTAAAAGCTGAAAATGAAAGTCTATCGAAAGAGATGCGTGTCGCACTCGAAGCTGTTGAAAAATTGGAGGTACTTCAAAAAACCATGGATGAAATTAATGTCGAAAAGGAACAAAATGAGTTGGCATTCAACACTCTGCAAGAGGATGATATGATGTTACAGAAAGAATTCGATCAATTGCGCGTGGATAAAGAACAATTGGAGGAAACACGATCGAATCAAAACGAACAAATCGAAACACTCGAGGAAAAGTGTGCCCAGCTCAATGCAAAATTGGAGCAATTGAATGGTGATTACAAAAATTTGCAATCCAACCATGAAACGTGTGAGAATCGAATAAGCGAAATGCATAAAATGCACGATATGTTGAAATCGCAGGCGGTTGACTTGGAATCGAGCCTGGTAGAAGAGAATATGATGGCACAGAAGCAAGTGATTGATTTGCAATCGGCTTTGAATAGTAAAAATGCATGTGAATCCGGTGCAATCTCCTTCGATGAGCTCAAAAAAATCATTTCGAAAACATTGAGCTATGAACCATCAATTGCCAACAATTCACTGAGTTTGTATCTTGATGCATTCCTTAAGTCGGTCAAAGAAACCTACCAGCATTTGTCGGACATTGAAGTGAATCGCGAAAATTTGATGAAACAATTCGAAACGGTGTCGACGGAAAAGGCAACATTACAACATGAATACAAGACGCTGAAGGCCGATTTGCATCACTATGAACAAGAAGTCGCCGAATTAATGAAAAACAATGGCATTCTCTTGAATCAACTGGAGAATGTAAAAGCGGGAAAATTGGAAACAATTTCCGAACACAATGAAGACAGCATTTTGCATTTGGAAACACAACTAGAGGATACCAGTAAATTGAATCAAAGTTTGCAAGATGATTTCAACAATCTATCTCATAAATTGGACGAAAGTGAAGAAGAAAAGTACGAATTGCTCGATACCATAAATCAATTGCAACAGCAATTAGATCAGATGCGTACCGATGACTCAAAGCTCGAGATACAAAAGGGCTTTGAAGAGAAATTCAAAGCGCAAGGCGATCGAATTGTTGAGCTTACAAACGAAGTGGAAACATTGAGGGCCCAAGGAGAACAAACACAAAAATTAACCGAAGAAATTGCAGAATTGCAGCAACGTAAGCAACTGGATGCCGAGGAATTGGAACGACTTCGTCGAGATTTTGATGATCTGGAAGAAGACTACAAGTTGGCAGAAACCAGTGCTGAGAATGAGAAAAATAAATTGGAAGCGCAAATTGATGAACTGAATAAAACAATCGATGATTTACAGCAACGTCTTCAAGTGGCCAGCATCGATGTGAAGTCGAACGATCAATTGATCGAATTGCAACAGAAGATTGAGGTTTTAACGAAAGAGAAACATGAATTGGTGAATGCAATTCAATTGAAGCACAACGAAAACATTCAATACCACGCAAAAATCCAGGAACTCAACCAAATGCTAATGACACTACAACAAACGATCGCCACACAAAGTCAGCAATTGAACAATTGTGCAGCGTGCACACAATTGAATGAAAAAGTGCAGGCATCGCATAATGAAATCGCAACATTAACCGATCAAGTTACATTCCTGAAAGAAAAGTCAGACATTCTCACACACAATTTACTGACCGAACAAACAAATCAGAAAATTTTACAACAAGAAAAAATTCAATTGCATGAAGAAAAACAAACGTTGAACAAGGATTTGAATCGTTTGCGCGAACATTTAATTGAAATGGAAAACGGACACACAGCCGAAATGATTGAATTGCAAAATTTACTGGAGTTAACGAGACAAGAGGTGGCCAATATGCAAGAGGAGGCACGAAAATCGAATACGGCTTACACCTCGGCAAGGTACAGTTTTGGTTAAAATTCTCTGTCTTTCTATATTCGGAATATCACTCATTTTATCAACTTTTTGTCTCCACAGCATTCGCGCTAATCAACATACCGAAACCATACAAGCACAATACGAAGTATTAAAACAACAGAAAGATGAACTCTCGGCCAGACTCAGTGAAGCCGAAGATCGAGAATCCAAAAACAAAGCTGCTTTAACCAATTTGCAATGTGTGTTAGAGCAATTCCAAAAAGGTACCATTCAATCATCGTCAATAAAAAAAAAATGAAAAATAATGTCAATCGACTGTTTAACGCTTGATGTAATTCTTAAATTTTAGACAAAGAACGCGATGTAGAAGCTATGACAAATCGAATTCGAAACGAATTAAATGATGAAATTGGCAAACGACAGTCACTGCTCAATGAAATCGAATCGCTTAAAACGCAATTGGACGAGTCAAAAGCGGGTCTATTGGCGGCCGCTCGAATTTCCGATCAATTGGAAATCGCTCAAGTGACAAATGCTACAATCAAAGAAGAGTGTAAGTATTTCGATATCAAATCGCTTGCTTTCATTTTTATTTATTTCAAAATCATATAAGCATTGTGTGAAATTCGACTAACAAGTCTGGTTATGAGCATTGAGCGTGCGCACACCGTTCATCATTCGGATCAAAAAGCTACCTTTCGATAAAAGAATCGTCAAAATTTACCTTTTTTTTTTTTAAAAATGCATTTCGAAAAGTCAATATCAATTGGTAATTCTGGGCTGTATCAAAGAGAGTCTCCGGAATTCCAACTGATATACGCTTTTTAAATGATTCGGCACACACACAAACATCCACACACATATTTACATTACAATTACTCGATTTAAAGACAAAACAATCGTTTTTCGGTTATCATTTTCGGACATTCATTCATATTTAATTTGAAAAAAAAAACACTATTTTTATTATTATTGTGCACGGTTATGTGTAGCTCATTGAATTTGCTTGCACTTGTCTTTTTGTTGTTGAGTTGAACGAGAAATGAAGAGCGCTTCATTTTGCTGTTGTTGCGTATTTTGTTTTTAGCGTTTATGTGTTTGTCTCTCATCGTTGCGCCTGTGTTACGTAATGTGAGAACCATTTCTATATATGCATTCTATGGAGAAATCTCAAATTGTAATTGTGGGCAATTGTTATAATTAAATGAACCACGTTGCAGATTGGGGTTACTCGATAGCTGTGATTGTGTCGTCAAGCGTATTATTTATACTTTATTTTTTAATATATACATTTGCTAGTTTTTCGTTCATTTTTTGTCGGTTGCGTCTTGCATTTATTTATATATTTTGCATGATATTTTCATTTTATATTTATATTCTGTTTTTTATTATTTTCATAGTGCACTGAGTAAAATACACGGTTTTTTTTCATTATTTTTAATTACTCCATTTTAAAAATGAGATACTTGAACATCATTCATTCCCGACTTAAACTTTGATTCTTATGGAAAACCGTATGTTTTGCTTAGAATGCTTATAATATTTCCAAAAAAAAATTACTTTAATTTGATGAATTGTCGATATGTGGTGTGAGTATTAATATCAGGTACTGGTGTATTTATAAGAGGCCAGTGCCTATATTATACTCTCATCAAAATCGTTCAAATGCTGCATGAATTTTGTTTGGACCTTGATTTGCTCTTCCCCGCGTTACATTTTATGTTTTTATCAAACATATCTTAATTTGAGTGTGATGGCATGAGATAAGCATTGATCATCATCGTTTGGTATGTATGCACTAGACCGAATTCCATCGCTTGGAAACTATATTTTTTTTGTTTTCAACATTTTTCTCTTTCGCCAAAATCCTCACAACTTTATCTGTTTTTCTCCACCGATATTCATATTCCAAAAGTGTTTAACAGACGTTGGTATTTTGTTTTCATTTTTAGTACGTAAAACTCAAGATAAACTGCATTCGACCGAATCAAAACTGCAAGATAACGAATCGAATCAGGCGGATCGCGTTGATAAAAGTTTGTTGAAAAATCTACTCATCGGATACATAATGGCGCCGAACAACGACAAGCAGCAAATTTTGAAATTAATTTCGTCGGTGTTGGATTTCAATCAACAAGAATCAGACAGAGTCGGTTTGAATCGAACGAATACCGGATGGCTCAATTCCATTATACATGGAAACCAATCACCGAACAATAATCAAGCTGGTAAATGTTGTCTGTTTTCCATCATGAGATGAAAGATTTTAACAAATTTCCCACACTCTTTCAATAGGTGGCAGTTATAGTAAAGAGAGTTTGGCTCAGGCATTCGTCAAATTCCTTGAGAATGAATCGAAACCGCGTACGGATGACAATGCACCATCATTGCTTAGCATGAACACACCGCCAAAGAAAGCAGCGGGCGAAGAGGAACCAGTTCGAAAATCATCAACCGTTCAACCCATTCTACTGCCAGACGCAATGCTTCAGACATTCAATGCGCCACGCAACTCCAGCTCAATTCTCAAAGACATTTTGAACGACTCTTGATACGATCTTTTTTAATTTCGTGCAATCAAACAGATTAATAGACAGGTCAAATAGAAAGTTTACTTGTTAAGCATTATTAGATTAACGGAGAATAAAAAAATGTGAGGAAAAGAATAACAGATTTATTTGCCACCCATCCAATATCTATAATTTATATATTTTTTAAACCATATTTCGTTTGATATAAACGTGTTTTCTTTCTGTATAAGAATAACAATATTGGTCAATTTTCAAAGAAAAAACAAACGAATTGATTTTATTTTCGCTAAATAAATTATCATGTACAATTTTCGATCAATCAAATAGCATTTTGAGTGTTTATTGTTAGAAAATTTATAATAAGTGTAAAAAACTATCCTTTCTCGATGTAAGGAAATAAACAATTTGTTTGCTTGCAATATTAAACACCATAAACACCGACGGCTCCACGAATACGCATTACAGCCGCAGAATGATCTCGCGTAATGAGACGTGGTGCAACAAAACCACCGTACCCTTTTTGATATTTGTAAAATATCCCGACGCCACTGAGTGGGGCCAATTCCGATGGTTCAATCAAATTTGAATCAATGAATGGAACTGTTGATTGTGCCATATCTTTGACCCATGATGTCGGTACAAATCGAACCGCATCCGTATCATCACTACCCATTGCTATCGATTGTGTTTGTAATTTTGTTGGAACATCACTGTGTTCCGTTGAAATCGTTGTACGATTTGTATTCAAGTTCATTTTCCATTCGCTGTCCGTAGTTAAATCCAGCTTTCCAGTGACCTCATCATAGTATGTAAAACGAACTTCAAGATAAACACTGCCAGCTGCAACACGAAACCGAACACCAGTCACAATTTCATCTCCTTTCGCTACAATTGTGTCCAGATTTAATATTCGATTATCGTAAGTCATGGTGAAGTAATCAGTATTTTCAACTACATTTGGATCGTTAATGGTGAAGTTGTTATTAGAAACTATGGATTTGGTATTCGGATCTAGCTCATTTTTTGGTAATAATGTTCGCTCGCTCGCTTCCAAATGTATTATGCCATTTTTCTTCATGATTCGTATACCCGAAATTACTCTGAAAATGAATGAAAGTTTTTTTTTCTTATTTCTTCTTTATCAAGGTAAGTTTATGTATTAAATTGAAATAAATCAGAATAAAATGATTTTCAATGAACACTGTGATTTGATGTTGGAAGAAATGAAGGTAAAAAAGATTAAGTAAGTACTTGTTCTCGGCGACATTTGAAATAACATCTCGCAAGCTAAAGTGACGATCCGATCTTGGGCCAGGCGCATCACAATAACAGAAACAATATCTACAGGTGGTGAGCCAAGACATAAATGGCTTCGCATCAAAGAAATCACACGGCAATTTCTCTTCTCCCAAAATTTTGCCAGATGCAAATTGTACGAAATTTATACGACGATTTATATCTAAATCATTCTCCTGAAATTATAGATTTTATTTGAGTTCAGTTTGTATTCATTTCAGTTTATTTGAGCCAAGGTTTGAAATCAAATAAAGAGCTGACTAAATCGGTTTTTAATTGCATTTAAATTACTTGAGTTCGACATTATTTTCTCTAAAAAATGCTTAAAGAAACTAAAAACAGTGATAACTTACATTAGGGCAAATAGAAAACATTGGTCCAAAATAGTCGCAGTCTCGTATTGTACCGAGGCATCTGGTTTTATTGTGATCTAAATAATTTGTGGCGCATAGTGTGCCTTCTTTACATCCGTAATTTTTGGTCGATTTAAAATCATCGCAGTATGGTGCGCAAGATCCGTCCGCGTTCATATTAATTTCATTGTCGACATAGCCTTGTATAAAGTTTGTTAATTGTGTGTACGATTCATTTGAGCTGAATTTGTCACAAGACCAAATGATTCGGCTCAAATTCCACATTAAATTCTCGGTCTGCAACGTAACATTCACATACTGTGAATTGAATGCAACACGATGATCTCGTGCAGTCTTGTGAAAATGTAAGAAATCCTAAAAATAGCCACACAATAAATAAAATAACGTTAGAATTTTATGAGAAAGTTCTATAACTGCCGCCCAACTTTATGAGCCATATAATAGTAATTGAATTCATTTTGAATAAAAACCTTTGCCGCTCCGGTCAGATATGAAAGTTGTAACATGACGTAAGCCTTTAAATGAAGAACGATGGTATTGAAGAAATATTTTTCCACCAATTTATAAACAGCAATCTGTGGTTCATCGATGTCAGTGCATGATTCTGATGTCTGTTTCAAATAAACCGTGAAAAAAACACACAAAAATCATATGTTACTATTTCGTTGGTGATAAGAGTGATGTGTTTTTGTTGTTGTTGGTCAATGTCAAAACATTACACGCTAAGGGTCATTATCAATTTGGATGTCTTACATTTTTTAGAAAGTCAAAATACACGTCCGTATTTGACGAATTCCACAATGTGTCCAATGAGTTTTGTAATATTGGTATCGCATCATCTGTCAACACTTCCAACATATTTGATGCATTCACTGTTGACCAATTAGCAAATTTTGACCAGTATTCTTCGATATCAGCATTGGATTGAATGACACTTGCAATCTCTGGCACATGATATGGATTTATTATATCAACCGGTGTACCTTTTTTCACTGTCGTTGCATTAAACGTTGGATAGAAACATTCGCTACCATTATACACATTATTTATTGCTGTAAAAAATTCACTATGTTTGACATAAATTTCATTTAAAGTCGTGTTTTTGTATTGACGCGTCCACAAATTATCTTCAAATTGGGTATAATTCCATCGTATCCTTCCCAGGATCGATATTGGATCGTCATATCCATTTACAGTAAATGCCAAAAATGCAATCACTATTCCACAAGTTACCGGTCGCATTTTCACTGATTTAATAATTGCGAACGACCTTAGAAATACGCATTTATTTTAAAACACGATGTCAGACAACGATGTAACGCACTTATTCACTCAACGAATATCTGTGTACGAATGATTTGTCGGAGAGCGAAGTAAATGACTTTTTTCCGTTTTCGTTGATTATACGTCACTCTTCGTTGTGGACATTCGAATGCGATATCAATTAACGAATGCTCTGAACAATTTTCAAATATAGTGCCGATAAGTTCAAAACAGCGTCAATTATTCAAAGATTCCTATCTTCTTTTTATGTATATCAATTAACAGCGTATAATGTTCAACGATTGATTATTTTTAATAGAAAAATAATATAAATAGCACTTTATCTCCGCACTTAGAACTTACTTTCTGAATCATTTGAATTAAGTGTCGCTATATATTGAAGATATTAGCCGAGAATAACATATTTTGTCATTTACTTTTAGATTGGACAAAAAATTGTTTTTCTCTCGATTACACAGATAATGTGTTGGACAAATATATCAACTAAATTCAGTTAACATTGATATTTTGTCTGATTCTTCTATCTTTACTGCCGGTCATCTTTCTCTATGCCAATTGAAAAAAACTTTTCCATTTTTTACGAACTGTGTTCTTTAGGATTTACGATGCAACTTCATTTAATGTTAGTGACCGGTTCGCGAATATTTCTATGCTTGCCTAAATACGCTAGGTAGCATAGATATCCCAAGCATAGCCGCAAACGCAACCGACGCATCGCCGTTCACTCTATATGAACAATACACATATTCGTTTATGCAGACGACCGTGCGCATACAATATAGCTCGAATCGAATGGCGACGGGTGCGTTGCGGCTTGCGTCTCCGCTATGCTTAGCATAGCTATCAGGCATAGAAATATGCGCGAACCGGTCACTGTTTAATGTACCATCTTTGGTTATTTATTACAGCCTTGAACTTCCAAAAAATATCATTTTATGAACTTCTGCATTCGAATTTAATAGACAGTATAAAGTTGTTAATCAATTTTTATTTACGAAATTTCGGACATAGTATTTTATAATTATTTTGCACATGAAGAAGGCTTATCAGCAAGTTTAGACATTATTTTGCGAACATATGTAGAAAAAGAGATAATGCAAAAATAAAAGTAGAGTAGTAGCAGGTCGATTTTCAAGTACCTTGGCTAAAATTTGATTGGACTAAATATCTCTTATTTTGTGAAACTTATCATTTATATCCAAAGTAATAAAAATTCTGAACAATCATTTCTAATCTAATAATTTGTGCAAGAAAGATCTCAAAATTAATCTCTTTAATATCAATTTTTGCTGCATAAAATGAGTATTCTTTCAATAAAGTGTACATTAAATCTAGTGACAGATTGAATGATGCCATATTGTAGAAAAATTGTGTATTTGAAAATGAATTGAAAATGTAAAAGTGTGGTTACCATCAATTTAGTCTGTTCCTTTTGAAGTTGAACAGCCGGTGGCTGTTCCTTTTGAAGTTTTGCTCATTATGCTTGGTTTCTTTGGATCGCTTGGACACTCGAAATAGGTTAACACGAATTTCTGAGTCTAAATGAGAAATTTTTATAAAAATCATGAATATAATACTGCATTTCAACGAATGAATACAAATCAGCGACTGTTCCTCTGAGGAGGAGGATCCTTCTTTTCAAGTGAGGAGGAAATTTTTTTGTACCAAAAAAAAATGAAAAACACATTATTCGTGATGAAAATAGCTTTTTGACTAAAAAAACTTTTGTTTTCCTCCTCACCGATTCTCCTCCTCTGAGGAACAATCCCTGATACAAATACATACAAGGTAATGTTCATTTTTCTTCAGTTTGAGTCTGATGAATGTTGTTTTACGTGGCTTGAACTCGAATTCTTGCCACCCTGAAAGCAGTTCGGTTCGTTTGTCAACAGCCATTGTCCAGTGTTGTTTATCCAACGATGTTGTAATGTAAAATGAAAATTTTTCGGTCATACGGATATGATCATTTCCAAGCAACATTCGCAACGAACCAATGTAGTAGGGTTGATTAAATTGCAACATAAGGCAAAGAGTATCTACATCCTGACTTGTAAATGTTTTTTCATCGTCGATGAACATTGCATGGCCTAAAATGCCCTCAATAACTATGACACCTAAATCGAATGAACATTTTGCAACGTTGAAGTGTGGCTTGAAAACCCCGTTTACCATTTCCACGTTTGGTTTTGAACGGAACATTGCTTGCAATCTAGCGACATCAAACGTCTCATGTGATTCGCTAAGAGTTCCAGTGCCAACTAATTTAATGTATCGGACTTGTTGCGGTGGAAAATACAAAGATTGCCAAGAGCGACAATAGTTTTTGGTGTAGTCAATCAGCCTTTCATATTCAACGCCATCAAGAGATGATTCAACGAAATACGAATATGAGCAATAGTTTTCATCCAATAATAAAATGCGAATGAAATTTATGGTATTGGGACGTCCAAGATCAACAATTATAGATGAACTTAGTTCCGTTCCACCAATATAATGATATGTGTAGTCTAAAATATGAAACGAAATATTTTATTTAATAAGTTTTTTTTCAACTGAAAATATTTTTTTTTTACTTAATTCGTGGGGAGGATGCGGAAAATCTTGTATTAAAAGAGCATCACCTTCACCGCAAATAATACTTGCACCTTGCTCGGTTGTTGCTACGTTCAAGTCAAAATATTCTATATCAAACGTTTCTTCCGAATCTAAATTTTTAAAGTCTTAAATTGTAACGAGTTCAAAAGAATTATATTCGAACGATAGATACATACATGTGCGAGGTGCGACAACACTTGTATTTTTAATAAACTCAATAAATTTCAAAAATGGATTTCTATCCAAAATGTTGGTCGGTAAAACGGTATTTTCCACTTCGTCTGAACTTATTAGAAGCCATCGTACTAATGAAAGTGCTTTCTAATTATTAAAAAAAAAAAAGAAATAAATTTTTTGAACATAATTTTTACTGAATGCACCTTGATCTTACTTTTACATTTTCAGTTGGATTATTTGCCAACCAATTCTGAACCGCTTTGAAAATGTTGATTTCAGATGCATAAAATGTATCGCGCTTCAATAAGGTGCTCAGACAATCATATGGCAAAGTTGTGAATGTGTCATGTTGCAATAGTTCGAAGGAATGACAGTCCATGGATTTTAAGCATTCGGTTTCTAATTTATCCAATGAGTGAAGCTTAGCTATGATTAGAGTTGAACAACAGTGGTCAATCGATGTGAGATACTTCGACAAGGCTCTTTCCAGTGATGGGAAATTGTGGAATCCGGTCAATTCGTATACATCGACGATGTCTTTTACTTCCATAGTTTTGAGAGAAATGCGTCCAGAATAAATATACTCAAAAATCTTTTGGAAAGCTTTCAACTGAACTGATAGAATGACCTCCTTCTTGGGTGCTTCATTAAAATTACCATTGAACATACTTTGAAAGTACTCACTCCGGGATGCCAAAAAACTTTTGTGAGCTTGTATTCTGGTGTTTTGAACAATGAGTGTCACATCGAATGGTTTTTTCATCATCTCCTCCTTTTCGTCTATGATTAGAAAAAATAATAATAAACTCCGAATTGAATGGTATTCCGTATTCAACATTTCAATGTCGGAAAACAACTGTACTCTTACCAGAAAAATCCAATTCACTAAATTGGACATCGTTAGCCGCCATTTTAATTTTTTTTTCAGAAATGTAGACTTGGTTTTTTTTAAAACTATTTAATAATATTCACAAACAGTGACAGAATATTGTTGTTTGCTTGTTATTTTTAAATTTGTGCACTTTTTTGTCGAGCTGTTTGCAATTGCGCAAAAGAATGAATATATTGTTCGAACAAATGATTGAATTTGTTCGGTTGGAGAGCTCTTGCGATGTACTGTGTACCGCTGTAATCAGTGTTTACAGCACCCTTTCAATGTGTCAACACTAAATGCTAATCAAAACGTTCACACTGTGTAAAATGTGACCAAAATTAATGTTGTATGAAACATTCAATTTGTGTGTATGAGTTCGACTGACGTCACTTGCATCAAGAAATGTGAGCGAACTGCACATTGTATTAAATGATTAAAAAAAATCTGTTCGAAATGTTCGTTTTTTTGAGAAACTCTTTTTTTTAATAGTAAATTTTTATTTGTCTATTTTATACCCACATTCGATTTTATAGTAATTTATTTATTTTTTGTAAGTTGAACGATATTCCACAATGTTTGAAGTGATGTCTGATTTAAATTTTAATACATACGATAACGAACGAAACCCTGTTCAACGACATATTTACATATTGAAGATGTGTGTATTTGTAATAGGGCTGCCCACGAACAGTTTGAGAACGTTCAAGAACATTAAAACTTTGGTTTCTGCTCGTTTGTGTTCGTTGTTCGATTGTTCGCGCGAATTTTGAATTTGTTGTTCACGCTCGTTCTTGTTTCAAATTCAAAGACGAACACAGAAGACCCGAACAGTTCGTGTTCGTGGAAAGCCCTAATTCGTAAAACTTTAGATTTCAAGATAAAATATATAAGTTGTACGAATATTTTTCATCAATTCAGTACCAAATTTGCACCTACAGAGTTTGGGTCGTTGTGATCAGTGAAAGATAAGTACAATGTTGCGCATTCTGACATTATTATTTCTATTACAACTCGGCAGGAGTGCCATGCCACAAGAAGGATCTAAACCAAATGGTGATAGTGTAAGTTTTTGTTTTAATTTCAAAAGACTTTTTGAGAAGAGAAAAAACGCTAGCTAGTTCAAATTGAAGAACAGTGTATTAAAGATATGAGATACCTAAAAAAATAAAATTGAAACTAATTGTGGGATGATAAAAAATAAACTAAATTAACATAAACGTCATCGCTTTTTTACGTGTTTTTTTTACTCATAAGTGAACAATTAAAAAAAAATTGACAATTTGATTTAAACGTGTGCACGCTCAAAAAAATCCAGAGGGGGAAACTTCAAAACCGGTTCATCAAACGATCGCTAAACAAACTTTCTGTTTTATATTTCAATTTCATTTTCAGTCAAGTTCGTATTGACCTTGTTTAAAAACCTTGTTTCTTTTAGATTTGTGCAAAAAATACGGCAGTGAATACGAATTGTCATTTTAGAAAAGGTAAGAATACAGATTTGCCAATTCAATTTGGTTGAATTTATGTGTTTTTGAAACCGTTGTATTTTTTGTTGTAAATTCTCAAAGAACAACGTAAACAGATACGCATAATATAATATTTTTTCTACCTATTTCTCTGTCTCTTCTGAAAAAGGGTTGCCGGAGCCATCGTTTCCAGATGATGGTAAATTGCGTTTGTTTGGCATGCGTTTTTGTCCATATTGCCATCGTCTACATCTCGTGTTGACTGCCAAGAACATATCATATAATTTTGCTTATATCAATCATGATGACAAGCCTGAATGGTATTTTAAATTGAATCCAAACGGTAAACTTCCGGCTTTGCAATTGATCAATGAACCAAATCAACCGTTTTTAATTGAATCAATGAGAATTGCCGAATATTTGGATGAAAAATATCCAGAAGTGAAATTGTATCCAGAGGATCCATTGGAAAAAGCACAAACAAAATCATGGATTGATCGTTTCAGTACATTTGAAGATGTTTACGGTCGTTTGGTCTATAAGAAAAACGAAGAAGATGTGCAGGATTCTTTGTTGAACCAAATTTACACTGAGATTGGACATTTCGAAGCCGAATTGAAAAAACGTGGAACAAAATACTTTGGCGGTGCCAAACCGTGTATTTTTGATTATGCGATTTGGCCACGGTTTGAACGACTCGGTATTCTTAGTGCGATCGTCGGAGAAAAATATAATTTTGATGAAAGATTCCCGAAATTGGTAAGAAATGTGGCTAACAAATTGTGATATTTAAAAAAAATCATAACTTTTCTTCCAACAGGCGCAATGGGTTCAGTTGATGAAAGAAGATTCGGCTGTTCAAAAGTTCTTTTTATCGACAGACGTTCATAAAAAATACGTTCAAAGTGTCCGAGACGGTCATCCGATTTTTAATTTTTTGGTCGAAGAATCTTAACGCAATACCAAAGCAGAATAGATTTTTCACTCTCGCATGAAATTTGATTGAATGTTTAAATTTAAATCGCAAGGAATATGTATGTTAAATTTGCTGTATGAAAAGGATATTTAACAATAAAATAGTATTCAACAATGAAAATCAATTGGATCATTAAAACTCACATTGAAGTCAATTTAAAAACACATTCTATTCAAAATAAGTATAAACAACAACATTTGACATTGTAAAAAACGATTCAATAAGATAAAAAAACGTTAAGGGTAAGGGAAAATATTCAAAAATGAATCGATATCTGGAGCCTGACCATTCTATTATCAGCATTCATCATTTCAAATCCTTGAATTTGAACCAATCTGATTGTCTCATGTAAAATCGCAGTCAGTCACCGTTTTTCCCAGGAGTAATCGAGGTGTAATCTATCATTAAGCCATTATTTCTACAATAATAAAATCGATTCAAACAATAACGCCACCATAAATGAGTTTGAAATTGTTTGGTGTTAGAAAATGATATCAAAATGATGACTCTTTATAATCACTTACACTCCTGCCACACCTCAACGTTTCGCTTATTTCACTGTTTATTGAATAAAAACAATACAAAAAAGTGGTGAACATCAAGAGGGGTGAGAAAACAATCACATTCATTCAATTCGGATCGAGACAATTTGGATCAAAGTTTAATTTCGTCATTAAACTAATTTCACAGACACTTCGATTCATCAATCAAATGCAATTATGTGATTGAAAACTTTCCCGCCGACTGGTGAATGACTAAACTTTTCACAGTTTGGACACAATAGACTGTTCCATACAATAAAAAACAATTTTGATTCACAAAAGGCATTTTATGAAACAATCCAATAAACAATTGCCTTTTGAATGGTCTCTCTGTTTTTTAAAAAGTGTTAAGAGTCCATGAAATTTTAATGAACCAATCGTTGGTTCGATTGACGGGAAAAAGTATTCCAATAAATAGGTGCTGCTGATGAATTCCACTTTAGTATTGTTTTAAAGGCTATCGAAAGTGTTTCCGAAGAAATTAGTGATGGAACCCCTAGGTACAAATGTGAAAATATGTGTTTTACTCGGTCTTTTCACCATTTCCGATCATTTTAAAGCGAAGATTTTTGCATTTCTATCAAATCTTCTGCTCACATCGAACACCGTATTTTTGGTTTCCATTTCGGCCACTTATTTCTTCAAGAATATTTTAGACGTGGAAAAAGCTACCTATGCTTTCTACGTCATTGCTGCCGGTTTGATAAGTCTTGCATGGAATGGAATTATCCTTAACCAGCAAACACCATTCAAAGATTTTTTATTGGGACTTCAACGAATCATTATTACGAGTAAGTTGGCTTCAAATGTTTTGAAACAAAAAAGAAATGCAGATCAGTTCATTTCATTCAGAAAGTTTTATTGAACGTTTATTAATGAACGTGTTTTCTTCTAATTCATTCCGCAAAGCTATAGCATTTAATTTTAACGATGCCTTTTTGTAGGAATCAACAGTGGAAATGGGATCACATACGAGAAAGTCGAGAGAAATGTTCAAATATTCACAAGACGATTCAATATTGTTTTTGCATCGGCAGATATCACGAGCATGGTTTTTATGCCCACCGCAGTGGCCGCTTTTAATTACATCAAAGGAACGTATGATCACAATTCTTGGTATTTACCATTAGTTACAACGTAAGTTCTGATGTTTATTTTCTCTTTTTTTTTAAATCACTTTCAATACCAGAATGCTTGAAATAAAGAGAAAGATTTGAATAAAAAAATATTCCTCTCCATAGAACGCCTTATAATCAAAACACAACGATTGGCCATGTATTCACTCATATCATACAAACAACGGGCATTTCTTCTTTGGTTGCCTATCTTTGCGCAATAACAACAATGTACTTCGGTGTTTGTACATACTTCGAAGCTTTATTCCTTGATATAGCTGGCGAACATAAGAAAATCGACGAAGAATACGTGCTGAAACCGAATTGTTCCATCAATAACAGCATCGAAAAGGCGATAAAATTTAGAAATCGACTAATTGACCTCATTGAAATGCATAATACTGTACTCGAGTAAATAATTAGATAATTCAAAGGGAAAATTTGATCAGCGCAATAAAATTTCCTTTATTTTAGGTTTTTAAATAATTTTGGCGAAATTCTGAACGGAATCGTCTTTTCATTATTTATGATAGGAATCATGTGGCTGTGCTCCGGACTTTTTCAACTAAAACCAGTGAGTGTTACCGACTTTGAATTCAATTCGCACCATTATGGTTGTATGCAATATTCTTTCTAGACTTGGGATTTAATGTTCATTCAAAACATGAGCAATTTAAGTTTGATCGTCGCTTGCTTGTATACATATTGTTCAAATGGATCCGTTGTTACATACAGTTGCAGCGAATTTGCATGTGCTGTTTATAGTTCTCATTGGTACAAATATCCATTGGAATTGCAACCATTTCTCACACTGATGATCCGTCGGGCTCAAAAACCATTTTGTTTTTCTGGCTATCAGTTTGGACAATGTTCATTGGAAAATTTTACGGCGGTAATTTTGAATTGAAATGAAAACGACACTATTTAAATGGTATTTTTGTTTGTCTTTTAGCTCATGAAAATGTCATTCTCGATACTTATGGTGCTACGGGCTGTAGATGAAAGTCGTTGAGTACACTGAAAAGAGGTGAATAAGTGAACCACAGAATTGTAGAAAGAAATCACTGGCAAAATCAATATCACTGGCATTAATAACTTAAGTTAAATGTTTAATTTCTATCTTAAAGAACACTGGAAATGTATTTGATAATAATGTGTCAATAAACCCTACGTAAATTTGAAGTGCAACATCAGTTTTCGTATTGGTTTTATTGTCAGAACTCTTTTTTCTCCTTTACTCTCATTTTGTTTCATAACACAGCAGTGTGGCGCTATGCAACAAATAATGACTATAATATGTCTCACTCTAGTGAATCATATTCACCACGATGCAACTACTGTCAATAAAATAACCGATTACAATTGTGAAATTTTTTTTTATGTATTTATAATATTTATGTTTGCATGTCAATCAATTACATTTAGTTAGTTTAGTTTTTCATTGGAAGTCATCTTTGTGAAATAGTTTTTTTTATTAAGATTCGAATTGATATTACGCAAAGGTAGAATGGCGTCAAATTATGTAAATGATTTTGATTTGGAGCATTTGGTTAAATTGAAAAACGATTTATTATGGGAATTGAGGCGTCAGAATCAGGTGATAGAAAAGAAAGAGGCATGGAATAATCATTGGTGAGTAATTGAAAAGAAAATACAGAAAAAACGATTCGCTAAACATAAAAAGGAACAAAGAAACATAAAAACTTTCTTACCCAGCATTAAATTCAGAGCAATGGAAAAAAATCATCAAAATAATTTGTACGCATTGGATCCTAAAGAATGGCAGCATTCTCTTGTTTCAACTCAATCGACAAAATATGTAAAAATCAAATCATACGATGGCGAGTATAAAATCTTCTCTTGAAAACTTCAGTATTTTGTGGTTATGTCAACAATTTCAGTAGATAGCAATCCGTTACAAAGTCTATTCTATACAAAGTTACATTAATTCGATTATACAAATGAATTATTTGAAAACTAGGTGCTTGGAAACTTGAAAATGTGCCGATTCACCGATTAAGAGCTGTCGGCTCGATACCAAAAATGCAGGCATGGGCCCCAATAAACGAGAATATGATGGTCCAAGATCAAAATCAGATCATCAATATTCCATTTATCGGAGATAAAGAACGTGATAGAAATTTCAATTTTATTGAAGATTATATCTACAACCATGGCATTGATTACTTTGAAGATGTCGGATACGTGAACAACACCATCTTAATCGATTTGATTAAAGCAGTGGCCCATGCTTATGAAAATGGAGATTTGCCTAATAATCCAAATCAAAGCGAAATACCATTTGCAGATATCTTTAAAGAAATCAGTAAATACCAATATTATGGAACTGAAGAAACCATAAGAATGAAGTATGAATGAACATTTTTCAGCTGAGATTCCTCGAAATTATTTTAAACAATTCCAATTTCGTAGGTATCTCTTGGCAACTCAATGCACAAAACCACAAAAGAACACCTATGAGTGCTACAGCGAATTGTATTGTCGACGTTGCTGCATATATGATTGCCTTTTGCATCGTAAGTAAACGGTGTTTTTTTTATCTTTTTCAAAATTTCCTACTTCTTTTCACACAGAAGGAAGTTTTTGTATTATTTGAATTATAATTAGCTCTAGAATTTTTTGCCCCATAGGCTCAGAAGAAGATAAAATATCTCGAAAAATGAGTAAAAGTCGTATCAATGACCTAAAACTATCCAGTGAACCATGCAAGAATGAATGTTATAAACTTTCGGTTTGTATCGATCGAATTTTTTTTTTTTAATTCAATTTTCAATGAACAAAACTTTCAAAAAAATAGGACTCTGAAAAAGAGGCAAGATCCGAAGATGGAAACGATGATGTTGGCAGTGTCAGAAGGCAATCAACTGCAATACTAGATGGTCCATCCACTTCAACGTCATCGATTAAATCGTTGTTTACAATAACCGATGAATGGACTCCTTCCGATCAATCATTAATTCTTTCACTGTGCAAAGTATTTCCGAATAATTACTGTGCAATCGCTCAAACAATGCTAACAAAAACATGCAAACAAGTAAACAAGATTTTCTCTGATTTTCACTTTTCTTTCGTTTTATTGCTCCCAACTCTATTGACTGTTTCGCACGTATAGGTGTTCAAGTACTGCCAGGAAAATAAATTAGATGTAGATTCAAATTTGGATCCGAATGCAGACACACAACCACCACAACCGATGATAGTATCACAAACCGAATGGATTGCAGAACGAAAAAAAGTGCTCTATGATTCGGATTTTGGACGAAAGTCATGGATACCTTGTAACCATGATGGTCCGTGTGGCAAAACTTGTTCTTGCTTCGAAGGTCGACACTTTTGCGAAAAATTTTGCAACTGTAGTGATGAGTGTCCATTACGTTATCCCGGTTGTCGTTGCTCAGGTCCGTGTGACACAACGTATTGTCGATGTAATAAATTGGACCGTGAATGTGATCCGGATTGTTGCAACCGATGTGGTGCCGATAAATTTAATGTTGAAAATATTGCATGCAAAAATGTTAATCTTCAACGTGGCCAACATAAGCATTTATTGATTGGACCATCGGATGTGGTCGGTTGGGGTGCTTTTTTAAAAGGAAACGCAAAGAGATATGAATTTATATGTGAATATCGCGGTGATGTCATTACACAAAAGGAGGCCGAACGACGTGGCCGTTTAAATGATAAATTAGGATGCAGCTATTTATTCAATCTGAATCACGATTATGTAATTGACGCCCAAAACAAAGGCAACAAGGTTCTTTAAAACATGAGCATTTTAATTGGTCTGGTGTTCTAATTAATCGTTTTATTGGTCTCATTTTAGACTCGTTTCATCAATCATTCCAAAAAGCCAAATTGTTATCCGAGAATTCTGATGGTCAATGGTGATCATCGCATTGGTTTCTTTGCTTTCGTGCCTATTAAAAGTGGCGAAGAACTTTTCTTTGACTATGGTGATACTTTCTGGAAAAGAATTCAAGAAAAGCCAAAAATGAAAAGTATAAGAGTCCCGAAATAAAATTAATTTTTTTTTTTTTTGATTTTTCTGAGAAAAAACATATTTTTGTATACTGGTATCAAATAAGAAATGGTGGTTTTGTGAAATAAAAATGATATTGAATGTGTCGTTTATCAGAAAATGTTTGTTTATCCCTATTCATTCAGTAAATAAAACTGTCAAAATCATAAGAAATGTATATTGTCATGGTCGTTATTAAAGCAATGTGTTGATTTGTTATTTCATATACAAGCACAATTCAAACACTTTGTTCAATGCGATCGGTTTGGTGTGTGGTGGGATTAGCATATATCAGTGTTAGTTATACAACGAACGACCTATTGTATAACATCAGCTATAGAAACTAAAAGTCAAGACGACGCCAAAAATATATAAACACACACATACACATGCACATAACTGTTTGATCCAAAGCATCGCAGTTGGTTGTGCATAATAGAAGTAAGTTTGACAGTTCGTGTCGAGTAAAACACATTGCCGGTTTCATTTGTTGTACATTATAAAAGTAAAACATTCCCACTGTAATTCGAATCGAATCAAATGTAATCAGCATAATTATGTGGCAAAAAGAGTCGAAACACAAGAATTCGTTGTACACAAATTTGTGTGCTGCAAATGGTTTTGGCAAAGAATCGGATGAAATGTACAAAGAAGTGCGCTCCGAAATCAATGTACATAAAAAGGTGAAATTCCATTACACAAAGTGTAATAAAATGGCATTGAAAAAACAAAAATCGGCAAAAGTGTATTTTGAAAATGGTGAATGGGAATTGGCGATTCTAGTGTACAATGAATCTCTGTGTTTTGCTGAAAACGGTACAAAATATTTGGGTATTTCGTATGCAAATCGATCGGCTTGTTTCTACAATCTAAAAATGTATGACAAGTGCTTAGTTGACATTGAGCTGGCCACACAGAACAACTATCCAAAGCATTTGATTCCAGCGTTGGAGAAGCGAAAAATGAACTGCCTGGAGCACATCGTAAACGGATGGAAACTGGACGAATCGCGTTTGAACTTGAATTATACGCGTGACGAGAAATTTCCCGACCTGGCAAATACCGTCAAAATTGAAAAAATTGCTGACAAAGATGACCCAACCGTGGTGGCAAAGCAGAAAATCGATGTCGGCGAAATTGTTGCTGTTGACAAAGCATTTTGCAAGACATTGTTTGCGATCTACGGTTGGAAATGTAACATTTGTCTGAAAAGTAATTTGAATCTTATGCCATGCCAGAGATGTACAGTCACAATGATATGCCGTGATTGCAAAGACAATAATTTACACAAATACGAGTGTGGCATTAAAACGTCATTGTACAGTAATTCGAATAATTACTTGATGCAAGAGTTACGCACATTTTTCACAGCCATGGATTTGTTCGCGAATGTCGATGAGATGATGACCTTTGTTGAACAGAGCGTCAACACTGATCCACTTGAAATTCCTACCGCACTCGATGATAACCGTTCAAAGTACCGAGCATTTCTGCAGCAAACCGCATTCGAACCGGACACAAAAGACAAGAAATTCATTCAAACCGTGTGTTGTGTGTACAAAATTTTGCTGGAAATTCCAAAGGTGAGTTACATCGAACATTTCAAAGTGTCTTGTTTTGATTAAATGAACTGAACATCGAATCTTTTTCTCATGTCGAATTTAGATAAGTCTTATGTTTTCAACGAAAAAACATCGACGCTTCATGATGCACCTCATTGGACACCACGTTCAAGTCAATTTACATCAATCGTATGTATTCAAGGAAGACTTTGTAAACGAGAATGGCGATAAAGACCATCGAATCTTATATTCGCAAGTTGGTGTGCTATTGCGCTATTTTAATCATCGCTGTTCGCCAAATGTTTATGCGATTGATTGTGACGGTGATACATATTATTGTGCATTACGTCCAATTCAACCCGGTCAAGAGCTATTCATATCCTACTACTGTTTTCATTGGGATCTGCCGCCGGAATGGCCGCATAAATTCAGCAAACACAATTGCAAATGTGAACGATGTGAATGGCGCAAACCCACAACAGATGAACTCATTCAAATCGCAGACGATCCCGATTTTGACATTGTTAATGATAGCAACATTGAATCGGAAATTAAAAGCATCGACAAGGCAAAGTTTGATATTTTGATGGAATCATGCATCAGACTGTTAAAGAAATACGACCGTATTCTTTGGTGTAAGCAACTTGCGGTTGTGATAACAGTTTATGCTGCATTACTTACCGCCAACATACGAGGCCTCGTTTAAGAAACACAACCACATGATCAACTCAAAAACAATGACTGATGGCCTATTTGACAATTATTTTTTTTGTTTCTTTGTTTATTTTCATTCATATTTTCACCGATTTTGATTTCGTTTCAAAGATTTTGAACATTTTTAAATCAAACTGAAATTAATAGTTATAAGCAAAACGTAAGCTCCATTTGTTGTCTTTAATTGTAACCATGTAATTCGTTTATGAAAAATGAAAAATCAACTGTAAAGTCAATAAATAAAATATGCGGACATTGAATTAAATGCCAATTGGTTTTCATTCGATTCAGTTATATTTCAGGCGATTCCGATACTTTTGCCTTCGTATAAACTTCAAGCGGACTAGTAATAATTGTGGTAAGTTTCATCAGTTGGTCATCACTATGTCAAATCCATCCATTTGTTGGATTGCTCACTAATGTTGATATGTAATTCTTCGAGACTTGGTAAGTTAACATTCATTAGTACACTTTCATTGCTGCTTCTCATTGTGAAATTTTTGACATTTTCAAACACAATACGTTCTATATCATCATCAATGCCATTGGTTTCAGGGTAGTACAAATCGAGTTCCAAATTTTCAAGGTTCGGTAGTTTTTCGTTAACAATTTCCAAGAGTTTTCTGCTACTGTGTTTCATTTTCAAACTTCGAATTTGTGGATTTCTCATCAAAAATATCTCAATGCCATTCTCTTTGAATTGTTCGGGTTGTTATCGACATTGAAATGTTCTAGATTCAAAAATGGTCGATCGATGACATTTTGGTCAGCAAATTGAACGTTTTTCAGTGAAAAATGACTCATTGCAGGAAACAATTCACTGAATGTCAGCGTTGAACTTGATAGACCTTTGAAACGACCATGAACTGAAAGGCTTCCGACGCGTTTAAATGGTTTTGTCATTTCATCGAAAAATATTTCATGATAATTGTTGACATCAAAGTAAGTCAATGAATCAGAACAATGCATATTGATAAAATTGTTTAATATATTGATTGAAGCAGGGTCCATAGTATGATTTTTGTTATATTCAACCACTAAATGTGTGATTAAATTTCCAAAAATTTTTAGCACTCACATTACTGTTCCAAATTGTTGAATGTAAATGGATCGACAATTTTAAGCATCTTTTTCGAATGTTTTCGCAGGAATACGTCAACGGCTAAATGGAAAAAATTCACATTTATTTCAGCGAATTCATTGTTTCAAACAAATGTAATTGTTTATCTTTAACCCATGTTATTATTTCATCTTTGATGTTCAATGGATTGACTTTTTCATTCTTAATTTGCGCTGACAAATTTTGCTGAAAAATCGTATGAGTAGCACACGTGAAATTTTTTTTTTTTTCACAAATATCCACTCACATCCTATAAAACAAAAAGAATCGACAACAAAAGAATTAAACTAAAAATTAGTGTACAAATTACAGCGAAATAGACAGGCTTTATGTTTGAAACAAACCAGTTACTGCATCAATTAAAATCGGTGAGCTGTGAAAAAAAGATGTTGATAGCTGGTTTTAGTCAAGGTATACCCTTGATATTTGTGATTATTATGTCAGAGAAGAGTATATCTTCGCTCATTTAATATCGAGTACGGTGTGTTTTGCTATATATTTGTACGAACATATATTTCATAGTGAATCGTCATATGACTTGTAAATGTGACAAATGAATTCGAATACGTGTACACCTTTTTTGTTAGGATCATTATTTTGTTCAATTTAACTTGTCAATTTATATGTTTAATTTTTATGTGATTTTCGTGATAAGGTATACATAATGGATTTCAATTTCAACTGATAGAATAGAGTTAAGACGATTGAATCTACGCAAATACTTACCAAAATGGATTTTTGTATTGGAATACAACTACGATCTTTAGAAAAATCAATTGAACTGATAATAATTTATATCAATCGTCTTTTATTTTGATAACACACACTATAAAAGAAAAATATATATATGAATATGGTCAAATTTATTATTTTAAGTAAAAAAAAATATAACAAATTATTTCCAACGAAATTCGATTGATATGAATTGAGCCACAGTAAAAATTACTCGAAGTTCTTATATAGGGTTTGAAGCTTTATCCCAATTAGGGAAGACGACATTCAGTGTCATGATCACGATCAGGTATAATATCATTGTACAACTTGTACAATTGATCCAGCGGACACTTCTCCCCGCAATTCGGTATATTCAAGGGCAGAAGGATTTCTTCATCCGACTTTCGATAGAAGATTTGAATATAATGCTCTTTTTCATCTACTTTGTATAATTCCAAATGTACACTTGATGCATATGGTGGTGTAGGTGGCTGTGGACAAGCAAATATTTTAATATTCATACAAAATTATATATTTTTTCCTATTTAAGTTAACTACTTTTAAGAGTCCGAGCCCATTCAGTAAACCAGCAATCGTCATGTCATGCACTGAGTAGAACCACAATGAACGATTTGGCTCCAACGTTGAATTTATCTTTTGAGCGAAACGTTCAAACATCTGTTTTATCAAAAATCCAGAATACAATCGAGCCAATTCTCTAGTATTCGATCTCATTTTATATCGAAAAAACGCAATGGACTCTAAGGCACCATTTGGTTCGATTTCTTTTCGTGCCCAATCGGAAAGACTTCACAATTGAAAAGATTAATATGGTTAGTTAATACTAATGTAATACTTATCATTATGCATAGCTTACGTTTTATTATGTTGCTTTTGAACTATGAGTATCCCATATAAGTGGCCAATCTTTTCAATGGTGGTTAAATTCGATCCGCACATTTTCGACCAGTACAAGATATTTTCTTTATTTTCTTCAAGGATACGCAGCACTTCTGGTGACTCACTTTTGTATTTCTTGAGAGCAGCAGAATATCTTGGACAATCAACTGGTTGATCATAGGTCAATAAATATTCCATATTCAAAGGCATTGTGTGAACTGGAATCGGTTGCCATGCAATATCCTTATGCCATTTCTCTTCAGCGTTTGGTGGAAATAAACCAGCTAAATTAGCAAGTGCTGACATTAAGGTACGATCAGAGTTAGTCGAACGCACGTACACCTTTTTCGGTGAATATTTATCGCCAAGAAGTTTATGATATCTCCTTCGGAAGTATTGTCCCAATTTGAATTGTTGTCTTTTACCTTCCTGTCAATGAAATTTTTTAACTAAAAACATTTGAACCGCTTAGAATAAAAGTAAATAATGGTAGAAAGTTAAAAAAATCTCAATCATAAAGTTCTGTGAAAATAATACTCAATCAAGAGAAAAAGTGAAAATAAAAGTCAATCATAAAATGAGTGAAAATAAATGGCAAACACAATTTATGATCGATTTTTATTTTCACTTTTTTTCTTGATTGAGTATTATTTTCATAGCACTTTAGTATGATTGAGACTTTTTTTTACTTTCTACCATTAACTTCTTTTATTCTTACTGAAGTACAATCAAAATTATTTACATTTGTGAGTGCTCCAAATCCACCAGGCCAATGAGTCTCATTAATATATGGGTCATTTGGATAAAGGTCAGGATAACTGTTCGTATTTCGCTGACCATGACGATAGAGCTGTTAATTACATAGACTTTTAATTTACATCATTTTTATCATGAAACTATTTATTTTTTTTTTGTTCTTACAACATGCGCAAATATCAATTGGCTATCATTTGAAGGCCATAGTGTACTTTTATCTTCGAAATTACTGTCCTTACAATGGGAAAATACATTTGAAACAAAGAATCCGCACAAGAATAATAGAATTGCACAAAATAACAGAAATACAAATTTAGCCACACGAGAAGAAAACATGCTTCAAAATTAAATCACTTTTGCTCTGATCGAAAGTTTCTTAATTACTAAACCTGAACAAATAATGTATTTAATAAATCTGGTACAAGTTCACTGATTTCGTCATTTTATTATCCAACCGAGTCGATATGTTATGTTTCACGAAAATTATACATATAATCGCACATACAAATGAATTTTTTTGAAAGCGTGATCACTAATTATTACCTCTGCAAATTAATGTCAATAATTACTTATCTGCAGAGCCTCAATTAAACTCACACTTTAAATTTGTTGATAGTAAAACCAAAAAAAAAAAGTAAGTGGCGTTTGCCATGTTTTAAGTTTTAACTAAATTCAATGCATCGAATTTCCTTCCTTGTCATTACAAGTCGATCTATGTCTTGAATTAATTAAATATAAATTCATAGGATGGCAACAAAACAGACAAGCAATATGTGTGGTTCTAACTCTAAAATTTTACAATATTTGACACATTTTTGCAGTAAAATGTTTTTATTGACTCCCATAAATATTATATTTGGTTTTCGTCAAATACGATGAGTTGTATTTTTTTTCTCATTCGTATGATGTGAGGAGATTAACTTAATGAATTGTTTGTTCATTAACATTCTCTCAAAAATTATTTGGAGATAACGAGATCGAAAGAACAGAGAAAATCAGTTTTTGTTGATGGAAACTCACTGCCGCATAAACGTCATCAATTTTATAGTTTGATTAATTCCAAAAATAAAGTACAATCATATCATAATGAAAGAGTTTGATGAAACGTTTCCCATTTGATACAAAATAATAAACAAAATTGTGCTTTTCATCTCATTAGAAAGGATCATAGCAACATCCTCATAATTATATTATTATTAGTTACACGCATTGCCTCTTCAGTGTATTCTGGAAATAGATCAAACAGAATACAACAAAAAGTTACAAATTTACATTGACAGACTAACATAAAACCTCTCTCAATACCAATCATTAAAACCTATTTTTATCTTCACTTTCTTTTAACCATGATAACAAGGGGGTAGACACGAATTATAAAACTTTGAATCATGTGAATCACAGTGAATCAAATGAATCATTCAAATGTCAAATAAGCATCACTTTTGGTTTTACTAACATGATCGTTCAACAAATTCTAAATATTATCGTTGATTTTATTTGGAATTTACTAGAAAAACACGAAATAGATAAAAAAAATGAGTTAATACATTTAAAAAAACGTCAAGAAATAATTTTTTCGAAGACAAATAATTTTAATTTATCAATAAATATTTCTTTCATGACACATAAGTGACATTTCAAATGTCATCTAAACAATGTGAATCTGTTGAATCACAGTGAATCAAATGAATCATGTCTACCCCCTAGCATGATAATTACCATTTCTAGCTTTAAGTACTTTTCTTTTTCTATTAATTAATGCAACTCCATCAGAAATTTCCAAAAATTAATCTGTAAAGGGGGCTATGGGCCTGTTGATTGTATTTATACCCCAATTTTATCCATTTTCAAAGAAAAATAAAAATAAAAAATAAAAATAAAAATATTTTGAGCTAAAATGTCTTGCTATCAAACCTAATTCTGCACAATTTTTTTAAAGGATGATAAGCTATCTTCTTTTTCTCCAAAGCGAAAGCATGCCGTTCACAAGTATATGCACATAAGTAAACATGTACTGTTGCATTTAGAAAATACGTTTTATTTATTTAAGTTCATGACTGAGATATGGTAAAAAAGTATTGGTTTAGAAATCATCAACAATCCATGGTTTGAGTTCTTCATAGATGTTGCTCCAAAGTTCCATTGCGTCAATTTTTGGGAAATTGGTTTGTTTTAAATCATCATTATTGATTTTGACACATTCAATATTGTCTCTTTCCACGGGTCCAAAGCCAGATCTAAATCATTGAAAAAATGATTGAAAGATCTCAAAATTCATTGCAATAAATTACAATCATACCCCGTTTTTGCATAATTGGCAAAAAGTCTAGGTGCAAAGTTAAATGCTTCTAATGTTTTTTGATTGCGGGGACAGCTTGGATTCGATAAAACTTCATCATATAATTCAGCATATTTGTTTGCACTGAAATACAAAAGATTCCATTTAAACACTTCAATGAAAGCAATGTTATATTCTAAGTTGGGGATCTCACCGAAATAGGTAAGCGATTTCTTCATACAGTCCCATTCCGTCAATAATTTTCAAATTTTCAGTAATTTTGGCGAAATTCAAGCGCAAGTTCAAATTAAATCTGAATATGTATCAATCATATTATAAAAGAAATTGTTTAAAAAATAAAATAAAGAAAATGATTGATATTTATAGTGCTTACTTACTCATAGCAAGATGTTTTAGCATGTTTAAGATGTACTTCAATTGCTTTATAAATTCCAAAAACGAAATTTATGTCACTCAACATTTGAACATAACGGTTCAAATAATATGAGGTTTTCTTTATTGTTCCCGTGCCAAAGTAAAATTTGCGAATTTTTCGTTGGACGTCTCTCCATTTCTAGAAATAGATTTATTCCCGATTAAAATGAAAAATATTTTCAAAAATAAAATCTTACTCGCGTTGTTTGTGACAAAGTAAGTCCATGAAATGGTACTCTCACATTAAAATTTTGATTCATAGGATCGACCCAACCATAAAGATCATTTTGAGTTAATCCTCTGATCAAACTCAACGCCTCCTGTAGAAAAAATTTAATTATTATCACACATTTTGCAAATTTATCCAAATACATAAAGAAGATTGAAATCTTACGGCACTGGTTTTACCAAACAACATTTCGACATTTATATTGGTCGTTTCATAAATTTTGCGGATAGTTTTAGTTAAAAATGGTTTTTCAGCAATTCGTTTATCTAAATAGTTAATATAATTTATACAATTGAAAAAATATTTTATGAAGTATTATAAAATCAGAATACAAGCCTTCGATATTAAATCCCCAATACAATATTAACAGGGAATCATCAACTTTGAAAGCTGGCGTTTTTTGTATGATCAATTCAGTTGGAGCAGTCTTCATAAAATCGTACAGTGCATATTTATTTCTCTCGCCATTCAACTCGTCTTCAAAAGTGTCATACAAAAGATTTAACTGATCATCGTAGTGTGCAAAGTAATTAAATGCAGTACAGCTCATCGAAATTGCGCGATCAATAAACTTTCGCGACTGAGAGTTTAACACTTGCAGATGTGTAGAAATACCACCTGAAATAGACCGATTTTTTTTAGCTCAAAACAAATAAATTCATTTTGTGAATTGTGAAAATATAATCAAAATAGAAATATCTTGATTACACCGTCACTATATAAAACAGCTGCCAGGGGAACATTTGCATTCGGTTTTACTTGTTTCTCTCTAGGTTTCTCTACCTGCACTTTCGCCGAATACAGTGATTTTGTGAGGATTGCCACCGAAATATTTAATATTGTTATAGATCCATTCGAGAGCAACCTGTTGATCCTTAAACCCCATGTTGCCTGTCAGGCCCGGCAAATTAAAATTACAAAAACCAAATGGTCCCAGACGATAATCGAATGTTACGAGAACTATGTTTTGTTCAATAAACATATCGGGACCATAAAAACCATTCGTACTATCACCCTCAGTGAATGCACCTCCATGAATGAAAAACATTACTGGTAATTTGGCCGCCTTCTTTTTCCTTCCCAACACTGCGTTCAGAGATTTAATTATATTTTTGTAATACGGCACAAGAAATTTAATTACTTAACCTGGAGTGAAAATGTTGACAAAGAGACAATTTTCGCTTTGAGTCGAATTCAATGGAAAAAAATTTGATTGTGCAAGCACTGGGCAAACGTCTCGATATTCATAAGTTGTTTCAAGCATCTCATTCCATGGCGAAATTGGCACTGGCACCTGTCCTCATTAAAAACACATCGAATTTAAAACTTTTGCACAATGATGATGGGTTTTAGTTATTATTGAATTGAAATTAACAATAAAACAAAATTGCCTTGTATCTTAGTTCACCAATCGGGGCCTCAGCGTAGGGAATACCAATGTATGATAGGTATTTGTGATGTTTTAGAAATGTTTTTTGTGTGACACCTTTTATGAAACCACTTTTCGTACTAACGATCAAAAACTCATCACATGACAATATCGCAAGGAAAATCTGCCAAACAGTTAATAACATCAAGAAAAATCGAACCATTTTCGAAAACCGTTAAAATTTTGATCAACCTCAGTATTTCGTTAAATTACATGAAATGAAATGTCACACAGTTTATCAAGCACTTAAATAGATATTTTAGAAAACACACATGTAAAATCGGTCTCAACATTCATTTTGTTTGTTTGCCAATTTTCTATAAATATATCATGCAATGGGATAAAAACAGATAAATTGACAATCGATTAAAGTAATTGTCATAAAATATTGTTTTTCTCAGAGCCGGGAATTTAATTCTTGATTAATTTGAAGGTTTAAAATGCTTAAAAAATAGTTAACAAGGTCACATAGTTCACCTAATAGATTTGATAAATCAGAATCAAAGAGAGAGCAGAGTTCAACAACCCCATTCATTGAAATTACATTTTTAGTAAAATAACACATAAACAAGGCGATTTTCTGTTTATTATAATTGATAACGCTTAGTTCCTCAACATTAACAAGCTTTTGTAACAGCTTTCTATTCCATAACAACATATGTTTGACATATCTATTTTTTGTTACATTCCTCAAATCACGTGAAAGCTCGTTAATTTTGAACGATTATCAGACTCTGAAGGCTTGCTGGTTAGGTCAAAGCAAAACCATCCTCGATATCAGATTTAATAACTGTAATAATTATTTGTGAGTCCAAACAAAATCACTATCGCAATTATCAAAAGGCATTAAACTACTGATATGTCAAGCACATCAACAAATAGAAAGCCTCTTAATGAGAAATCGAATGTAATCAATTATAATAACCAGAAATGAATGTAGAAACAGTCTAGAAAAGGTTTCCTGTTCCGTTGTTGATTTGTGTTAAATTGTAATGCAATTATTCGGAATCAGTATGAGAATTAATGTTCAGGCGTTCAGTTGATAATGACAACCGTTTTGTTGGAAAATGAAGCATTCAAATGTCGTTTATCGACATCAAAAATTGAAAATATATTATATAAATTTTTCAAAATTCTAACAATCTGCCCAATTCGAGTAGATCGTGATGCAACTGGAATAAAAATAGAATACCAACAGTCAACTAGATGGATTGCATTTCTTGTGATCTTTCTATTCTTTCTCTATACAATTGGAATAACAATTTTGCGAATATTGTTTGTGAGTGAAAAAGATGATTTCAGTGTATTGATTGGTGCAATGAATGTTTTTATTGTTATGATGACATGTGTGACGATTTTTTTCGAGACACAATACACCCATGAAAGTTTCGCCATTTTTCTACAATTGAAACATAAAACGGAAAATGAGTTAAAAGCCTTGTGCTCTGAAGAACATTTTAAACATGAAAAATATTTGTTAATCAATGGCTATTGGATTATGTTGTTAACTTATCAATTATTTGGATGGACAATGCAAATAATAAACATAATCAACACTGAATGCGATTCTGTTTGGGGATATTTTGGTTATAGCCTTCTTATGCCGGTAACCATCAATAGACTAAGGTGCTTACAACATCGCCTGTACACAAGCACATTGTATTTCTACATGAAACTGATTCGCAAAAAGATGGAAACAATTATAAAACAGCTTGACAACACTGCAAAATTACCAAAACAACAATATCACCAGCAATTCACTTTGACCAACCAGAAGATCATAAATGACTTGAAACTATCCATGAATTTATTCACTTCAATTCATCGAATGACACATATGGTCAATGGAATGTTTTCAGGTTCTTTATTACTGATTATTGCCGAACATTTTATTCGAATACTTACACCAGCGTTTGTGATTTATTCCAAATATAATTCCGGTGATTTGGAAAATGTATCATGTATGTATGTTTGTACAAAACCACGAGCTCACATTATGAACAAATGTAAAAGGATTTTCTTTTCTTTTAGATGTTGTACTTTCAACAATTGCACCAATTTTTGTTGTCATCATGCTATTGGCATCATGTGAAAATTGCGAATCAGAGGTGAAATGAATACAATTTTGACTTTTTTTTTGGTAAAATCACCATTTCTGTTCCATTTAAGGCGAATTTATTGGGTTTTCTGTTCATAAGTCTGGAATTTAACAGCAAATTTGCAAAATCCTTCGATCTGATGGTAAATACATTTTTCTATGGATTTTTAATGGATTCGATTTTGATTTCTATTAAATGTGATATTGCAGACTGAAAGCTTTTCACTCCAGTTGATTAAACAACCAATAAAATTCTCAGTGGCTGGCATTTTTCGGTTGAACTTCACTCTTCTTCGAAAAGTAAGTTTCAAAAGTTAGCCATAAATACCAAATGTTGCTATGCCTTTTTATTCAATTAATATTTCAAATTTCAGCTGGTTACTGGTATCACTACATATATGGTGATCTTCATTCAGTTCATATCGAAGTCTCCTTTAATTAGAAAGCAATAAATCACACGTTCCAGCAAATATGACCAGTCACCGTTCCATGTTAACATACATATTTTACAAGATTTGATTTTTGATTGGAATAGATTGAATCAGGGAGCCACCCATTGATTGCTATTGTATTTTAATCAGTACTATAGTTGTTTGTCAGAAAATTCATGAAATATGGTAATAGTTCACGCTTAACTTCATACTGCAATATCACAAAATCAACCCTCGCCTGTGTATTTATGTTGGAGAATGCGTCACAAAAGAGACTTTGTCACTTTTATGAATTTTGTTGCACCGAAAATGATGCTTGTCTTTGACGTCAATTTGCCTTCTTCCAATCATGATGGTTGCATAGAATATGTTTTATCACTTTCTTGTTCTGCAGCATTGATTTGTATATATTTTTTCCTAAAATTTATACTAATTGAATAAAGTAACGCACGAATACAAAATTGGATTTGAATGTCAAAATATTTTAAAAGTTTCATTTCATTTTTATAAGTCATGATTAATTGCCACAAGTCGACGTTTTGAATTTTTTAATTCATTCAATTTACGTTGGACCGTAGCTCAAGCTGAATGACTCTGCAAAAACTTAATATTATATTTTTAGTGCAAACGGAGACGGAAATATAAAAATTGTAATGAAGAACGTGGCGACATACAGAATTTTATTTAAATCCAGACTTACATACAAACTAAGTCCATTTTTCTGGCATTTTCATCATTAAAATTTATCTCTGGAGACAAACCAATGCCACAATATAACACCATACTAAAAGACATGAAAATGCAAGCAAAACTTCGTGCTAAAAAAACGCCTCCCCAAGGATAAACCACATGCTTTGGGATCGGGCTTTAAAGAGTATTGCACAGGACTTGCACAAACCGCAGAAATACAGAACTTACCAGATGTACACGCACAATCAGTTACAGAATTATTTTATGAAACAGATGTTGTATAATACTAATGTAGAAATGAACTATCTAAACCATTTTCCGAATTGAGGCAATAAAAAGTAATAATATTTGTAAACGTTTTATTTGTGTGATCTTTAATATTTATTACTTAGCTGCAAAGGATGAAACAGCAATGGAAGCGCAAAGGTGACTAAAAGTACACCGTAATAAATCTTATTAGACCATGATAGCCGTCCTTGTTTAAAATGTAAAAAAAGCTAAAAAGAATTAAACTCGTGGTAGACTATGATTAAACTAGTAGCTTTGAAATGTGCTACGTACATAATTACAGTATATGATATGATATAATAACAACAACAAGTGATTAAAATTTACTTATAATTTCAAAAATTCTCAAAAGAGTATAATGTATCATCTGTTTGGTATAATTTCGATACACAGCGATAGAGCTAAATTCTCAATTCTCAACTGCTCGACTATAGTACG